GCCTCCCGCCGGGACAGCCGGCCCGGCCCGGGCGCTCGGAGGAGCGGCCCCGCGGTGAGTCCGGCCGTGCCCCGCTGGAAGGCGGCCGAAATGGCGCGTCCCGCTCCGGTGTGACTGACCCCGCGGGCGGCGTCTTCTTAACGAGGCCTTTAGTGGGGGAGTTCGTAGGAAATAACGGGATAATTTAGCAAAACGGGCTCCGCTGTGTCAAGTCTACTCGGTTAACCCCCGGGGGGGTCTGTTTTACGCTGCCTTTCAGGTCAGGGGACGGCAAGCAGCCTGTTAGCTCCTGACAGAAAAAGGCGGTGTGACATTCCCAAACTGGACTTGATAAATCAGGGAGTCTCAAAAATCACTTCTGCACCCCCAATTACTCCCACGTACCTGTGTATTTTCAAAAACGAGATGAACTACTGCGAGTGAGGTGCCCTGGGCGTTAGCCGGCCAACCGTCAAGGCCCGCATCCTTCCCAGCGTCAGGACAAGCAAAGGGCGCGTGTTTTCTGATGATGCTCCTCTCGTCTCTTTGTGGAATTTTTTTCTTTCTTTCTGTCAGAGCACACCAAGGAAACGGAGCTTCACTGGCTGCAGTGCCTTGATCCACTTTGGAAATTAGGAGCTACTTAACTAGAGTGAATAGCAGTATAATGGAACAGGCCTAAGGGTGCCAAAAGTGTTTTTTAACTAGCGTCTCGTTTCCAAAAGTAACTATGACCAGGTATGAAGGAAACGAGTGAGAACTCTACAAGCATATATAGTATTTTCCCAGCTACTCCCGCAGCCTCCAACCAGATGACATCCTCAGCTGAATGCTTTGGGGTACCGCAGGTCTACTGCCATTTTTAGGAAGCATCCTTTTGGCACGTGTTGAAGCTGAGGCCCCTTAACTCCAGTCGCGACCACCCTTGCTCGTGTATGAGAGGAGAGAGCGAGCCGTCGGTTCTAGCACATGCTGTCTGCCCCGCTCCCGACCATCCTCCTCCATACGAGCCTCTAAGCAGGCTGTTCGGAGCGCAGCCTTTTCAGGTCTCCCAGACCACTGCCTTCCTCACCTGCTAAAGCATCATCTTGGCCTCTGGGAGGAAGGCAGTGCTAAGGGATCGCAGCCTTTCTTGACTGGACACTGCAGAGAACAGGTCTGCCCGTGGTGAACTGCCTCACCGAAGTCCTTGTATTGTTTCCTCTTCTATCTGCCAGGGACAGGTTTGATAGATTTTTCTCACAGGTAATATGATCATTTAAAATCATTGCTTTTACATAATTATAGATGTTTGTCTACAGCTTGCTTCATTTTAGAGAGTGTCAGATATAAAGCCCTACCAGTGACAAATGTTGCCTTTTTTCTTAATATGCACTTTCCACAATATTTTTCATTTAACAGTCTAACTTTTTGATCAAATAAGAAAGCTGTTTTATGGGCTTGCTTATTTGAGACTGGCTAGGATGAAACTGAAGACACCATCCAATAACCTTTGTAAATGTTTGCTTTGTATGTTTCTCAGGAAGCTTCACAAGCCAATTATTTCAGTTTCCATAGTGAGCCGGTTTGATGTCTTTGCAGTGCAACACACATCCTGTTAAGAGTTGTCATTAACTCTGTTGGCTTCTTTGTTCTGTATGGTGCCAAGCACTTTGCTGGAGTCCAAATCAATACTAAATAACAATGGATGTTTTTTAGCCTTAATTCCAGGTTTAGCTATCATGGATGAAACTGCCAACAGATCAGAAGAATGCAGGAGCTTCTTCTTTCCCTGGTGGTTTCAGAAGGCTTAGTGTCTGTGCTACCCAGACTGGCTTTTAGCATTTAGTCCAGAAACCTCTCTGTCCTGCTGTAAAACACTATTTTCTGGGGGTAGGAAAGGCCACAATTATTAAATGCCTGAAATAAACAGTTAACGTCATTCATCCTTGAGATTTGTTTTAATGCAGTAGAATAAATTCAATGGAACGGTGGAAAGCATTCTACAAGCACTGAAGTACCAAAAGAATGAAATTTGAAATGAAAAGCAATACTTAATGCCAATGGATCAGAACATAAATTACGTATTTTAAAAATACTAACATTCTCAGAAACCATTAGTCTATGGCTGTAAGCACATGTCCACTTAACCACCTATAACTGCCTCCCTTCCCGATAGCCTTATTCCTGGCCTGGGACACGTGGAATGAGATGATACTCATCTACCAGAGAGGCAGAATAGCAGCAAAGGATTTTCTGCCCCCATCAGGAGATTCACCTTTGCTTCCACCTGGAGCAGAAGATGCCTTTAGAGGTTACCAGCAGCGGGAGCCAGGGTACACCCGATCGGTGCCCGGCCTGGGCCTGCTCTCCTCCTGTTACTTCTGTATTTTCTGCTGAACAGCTAGTAGGAGATGCAGTCTGCAGAGTGGTACATCTCTTGGTCAGAATCCCACTGAGGTGTGTCTATATGAGCTTCAGGTAAACCCTTGTTTCAAGGGGACACTCATGTATTTAATATTGTCAGGTCACCATTTAATGTTTTTCTTAGGAGCCGTTAAGGCTAAAACTTCCTTTTTTGAAATAAAGAAGGAAACTCAAAGGTAAAGAGGTGGCTCCTGAACGCCCTAGAATGGGTTTATATATTTTCTGTCCCTTTATCTGCATGTGCAAGAAGGCATTGTTTCATCCGTTGGGGCTTGATCAAAAGGGAAAATCTGGTGGAAGCACAGCTGTGTGCTCTCCACCAGCAGCTCTGCAGCACCTCTGTGGTGGGCAGGGAGGATCTTTGGGGGTTCTGGCTCACCTGGCTCCTCATGTATTTTCCAGTTTCCAGTCCCAGGAGTACCTACAAGATTTGTCCCCGGAGGCAAGATCAGTGGGCAAATCCCAGAGCATGTTTTGTATCGTAAGTAAATAAACAAAAATTGAGCTAAAAATTCATTTTTCCTTTCTATTTGTTATTAGGTGATATGTAAGGATTTACAGGTTTCCCCCTATTGCTAAAAGGGCTGCATTTTTCTTCTCAAAAATTAAACCATACCATCTTAAAATTGTTGACAGAGGAGAAAGGCTGCATTTGTTGTGTTATCAAGAGCACGTTTCCAGTACTTGTAGCCCTTCTTGTCAGATTCTAGTTCAGGAACCTGGTGAGGAAGCTGACCCTGAGAAAATAAGGGGGAAAAGGTTGTAAAGACAAACTACAAGCCAAAAGCAAAGATGAGCTAAATCCACTGCAGCAGACTGAATTTCTCTTGGCACTCTGTACTAGTCCATAATAACAGACACATTTTGACTTACCTTTTATAGTCTTATTTTTACAAAACCAACCTAGGTGCTTGTCAGTTTGTCTAAGAATCTTGTTTAATTTTTAAAAGGAGAATAAAAATTGTCTCAAGCTTATTACAAATGCTTGACTCAGAAATATTGTAAATGTTGAGCGGCCATTCCACCAAATATGCACAAAGTAAAGAGTATGTTTTATAAAAGAGAAATCATCTTGAGATACCTATTCTAAAAGAGTGATCCTGGGGAAATGAAATAAAACTGCAAAAGAAATTTCACTGGTGGACACAAAGAACCAAACAAACTCTCCTGCTCTTACCAAAAGCCTAGTAGGCTGGGCCCTGAGTTTTTAACACTGTCTACTATTGTTCAGACAACCTACCCATCAACTGCTCTAACAAATGCTGCCTGTTTTTCATCAGAAGTGTTGGGGTCCTGCGCCACAGTTCACAGAAACAAGCCCGAGGGCTGGTACGGATTCGTTCAGGGGTCAGATTGGTGTCTTTGTCAGTGGTTTCTAACTGTTGAGGTGTATCTCTCTTGAACTCAGTGCAGGATTGACTCCATGCTGGGACAACTCAGATGTACTTCTGCCTTGGCCTTGTACTGCAGTGCACAATTACTAGTTCCAGTCAGAGTTTTTCGCTCGCCCTTAATGCCAGTGCTGTTTAAGCTCACTAGGTGCAGCAGGTGCAAGAAAGAGATGTCAGCAGCCAGAAAAGAGGTGTGGAAAGAGGCAGTCTCAGGGCAAGCAGAGGAAGAGATGAGGAGCTGTATTCAGTGAAATACCTGTTTTCTTAAGTGGGACTTGACTTAAAAAAAAAAAAGACCAAAAGTTTAAAATGGCAGGCCTACGATAGGTAAGTGTTTGGGAAGTTCATGAAGTTCTTGAGCCTTCACTGGGAAGCAGAAAAAGGACCAACTCAGCCAGATTGGTTTTCCAGATTTTAGAATCCATTAATCCCACATCATTTGCTGACATGAACAGGTATTTCTGGCCCAAGTATCTGTAAATGGTATACACTGTCCACTGCACAGACAATGCATACTGCATGAAAGTGTGAACTATCACTTGTCTGCTGGTCTTCATACTTGCAAACCTCAGCGCTGCTCATCTTGCATGTTAACCTTTTGCAGGTTTGTTTCAAAACTTTCAACCATAAGCAAAGGAATAGACTTGTAAAATTCTATTACCATCACCCAGGTAAGTATGAATTTAGCCTTATAAACAGACAAACAAGCCAAAAAAACAACCCCATATGTAACTGTAGAAGAGAGGGATTAAGCTATTAAATGGTGCAGAAACAGCAATTCATTAGAAGGAATAACTCATCTGATTGGTCTGTACCTATAAAATATAATGACTAACAATCAGAAGACACTATCTTTTCTAATAAATAGAGACACAGCTGTAGTGATTACATAGTATTTCATACAGCAATATTCAACTAGGGCAGAGAAAGAAAAAGGAGGCCGCCAGAATTCCTTGTACCAGCTATCCTTGTATATTCAGTATCTGCATTTGTGGAACATGTTTGGGATTTTATGTTCCTCATATTAAGAATTCTGAACTTTATGCTGATGAGCTGGAATAACCATAGTGACTAGAATAACTATAATTACTAGAATATTTGTATGTTATATGAAGTATATGTTATATGATAATATATATATATGCACACACATAATATGTACGTTACACAGTAGTTGTGAGAGTTGTTGATCTGGTTATAGGTTTCCTTGATTCCCATTGTTCTGAGTTTAGATCTTTAGTAAGGTAACGGCTTCAAAAAACTTTTGAAAACCTCAGAGACTGGCGTTTCTAAACAGGAAGGATTTATTGTAATCAGAGCAAAGGGGCTTGGAAGCAGGAGGAGGAGAGATACATACTTTATCCTCCCTTGAAGTATAGAAAACAGGAAGAAAATGAAGCCCACAAGTCTCTTCCTTCTTTGACACATGGCAATCGTTCCCTACACTTCTACTTGTGAGCACTCCACCAGCGTAAGAAATGGGCCCCTAATATGAAAAAAGAACTGAAACTCCATTCAAAATCTCCCATCTCTCACCTACTGCAGTTCAGAGGCAAGAGGCCAAAATGAAAGAGGAGGAGGAGGAAAAGCAGAGCTGGGCAACGGGTGTCAGCTCCACATCTTCCAAAAACTTTCCAGCCTGGAGATGTACACATACACCTGATTTCCCACCACCACTAGCTGACAGGCTGCTGAGCCCAGAGAGGGGTGCAGAGAATAGGTGTTTCTGGGTACAGGTGTATCTGATTACACTGTAATGTACGCATCTGATTAGCACTACACAAAGCACCGAGAATCATCTTTGGGAAATGTGATGGGGACCTTCAAAGCGTGTACCAAATGCGTCCTCAGGTGAGCTCAGTCCCATCCTTTCTGTAGGACTTGTGCAAAGTCCGATGGTGGTTTTTTTCTGTCACTCTTCTGGCAACGTATGAGAGGCTAATGGAGGAAGATCTAGTAGACGGGACTTTTAAGAGGCAGATGATACCAAGCTCTCTATCCTCAGTGCTTCCAAGCCTATCAATACTTTTGAGCAAATTACTGAAGCCTAGCAGGCCACAACTAGACCGGAAAGTTGTACCTTTCTAATTTATTTTTTTTTTGTCTGTAAAGAGGAAGGACAAAAGTTCTTGTTTAGTAAATTAGCAGGTACTTTTACAAACTGATTTATTATTTGTATGTGTAATTACTATTGTGTGTCCAGAACGGTGGTTAACTTTTTTGCAAGAATGACTCTTATGGGGACTCATTTGGATTCTTTTCAGATGTCTTGCCTCTACTGAGTCATAATTATTGGCTCGGGTTCTTATACTAGCCAGGGGACTGTTAACTACCTGTCATTGCCGACAGTGGCTCAGCTTCTTCAAGGCAAGAGTGAAACAGGCTGTAACTACCAAGGTGGTGCCAACAGTTTAGAATAGGTGTTCCCAGGCTAGTGCTGCCAATACACAACTCCCTCTTGATGCCACCCTAAACCAGAGCACGCAGGTCCAGAAACACTGGCTTGGAGCGCTGCCTAGATGCTGTAGTACTCATTGTAATTTACATATACAAGATCTCAGGTTTTCGAGGTTTACATCAGCAAGTACAGCAACTCATGGAAACAGAAAACGAGAGGAAGAAAAAAACTGGAGAACTTACAGGTATCTTCAGAAAACGAGCAACTGCCCTCTGAAACCTGCCCGAAGCAGCGGGGCAGAGTCAGTTCAAAACAGGCTTGGCCTACGGTATCATTTCCGCTCCTCTGAAGTATTTCAGTGCCTGGCTCCCACTGGAGGGGGTCGGTAAATAGCTGCCTGTGCTCCCCTGAACACCCCACTCTGGAGCGTTCACACACCAAGTTGATGACAGCAGCAGAAATACTTAAACGGGGTTCAGATGCTGAGGTCCTCCGTCAGGCCGTCGCTCCCTGCGTTCCCTACAACAGAACATCAGCGCCTCAATACGCAACGACTGTACCAGCAAGTCTGAGCGTTCAGAAATGATGAGTCAGTCTCCCCGAAATTAGGGGATTGCCAGTGACGTTTTTTTTAAAGAAAATACGAGGCAGAAAGCGTGCGTTGTTTTGCTTTGCTGGAGCCCGGGGAGGGTTTTCCAGGCCCGCCTTCCCCGCTCCTGGCTACCGGACACCGCCGATCCCGGCAGGACCGGGTGCCTGCGGGCTCCGGGGACTTCCCGAGAGGAAATGTCAGGTAAACGCCACCACATCTCCCTCACGACAGACGACAGAAAATCGCCGGCGCTGCCGACTGCGCTCCCCCCCCC